ACGTACAATATCTTGAAAAGCCCAGATCATTTTCATATCAAATAGAGAACTTTCACACTAGCTGAAACATCTTAGGTCCTTATGAGGTTTTGCTAATATGTGTGCCCATGTCATCTTAAATATCACTCTTGAATGAACTGAAATTGACAACATTTTAGCTACAAAGTGTCAGGAAAACTGTGGCCTGGGTAACAGTTGCCACCGGATGCTTCTCTCTCACAGCTGTGTGATATTTAATAATAAAGTTCAAGTTTAACGCTGAAGAAGTCAGTTTTCAAACTTTAAGTTAGTGAGGGCTTGAATGACAGCATAAAAGAATAATAATCTTAAAAGCAAACTAAATTCCATGATCTGAGATAATTACTTAAAAATATTGAATGCAAATCCTGAAGTCCCAATTTATCCCTCCCCACACCTTTCCTCCCTGGTAACCAGAAGTTTGTTTTCTATGTTTGTGAATCTGTCTCTGTTTTGTAAACAAGTTCATTTGTGTCCTAAATAGATAAACAACGAGAACCTCCTGTTGTTGGAACTGTATTCAATATCTTGTAATAACCCATAATGAAAAGAATATTAAAAGGAATATATATGTATAACTGAATCACTATGCTGTACGTCAGAAATTAACACATTGTAAACTGACTTTGCTTTAGTATAAAAATATTGAATGCTATTATGAAGCAGATGTTTACATATGCCTTTCTATTTGCTTCTTTTCATGAATGCAATGAAGAAATATTATATTATTATTATTATTATTATTAGTTAATGGAGGAACTGGGAGTTGAACCCAGGACCTCATGCATGTAAGCATGTGCTCTACCATTGAGCTGTACCTACCCCTCTACCACCAAGTAATATTCTTATATTCACAAAGATCTAAAGTAAAGACCTGGGCTCAGAGTTCAGGAATGAAGATCACTTTGTGGAGCCCCTGTCAAATGGCCTTTTTCTCAGGTGATATTCAGAGCTTAGTTGCTGTGTTGACCTTTGGTCATATAACCAGTTTACTTGGCTGCATCACTGCTGGGAAGGCTGACGGTCTGAGGAGAATCATCACCAGAGTGGACTCTTCACCTTTTTCACTGCTGGTAGTGGCCACATAGCACCTACAATAATACTGAAGGAACCTCAGGAAAATCTCCCAAGGAAGGGAAGTTTAAGACCACACCTGTGAAAACAGAGAACCAGAATGCAGACCTCAGCTGGGGCTCTATTCTTTAACCACAACATAGACCTTCTCCCTCTTGCCTCATGGGCTACACTGTTAGAGAGTCCGGTCCAGGGATCCTTGAGTGATGCTCACCTGACTGGCCAGCCAGGAACGGGGCTGTGGGACGGGGTCATTCCTATATGTCTACCTGATATACCAGAACGTGGCAAACCTGAAGAGAGCTGTCCTCTGGGAGGGTCCTGCCAGCATAAGAAATTAATCTTTGACAGAAAGAATCATCCCTTCAAATAAGTTTCCTTTCCAGACTCTCCTGGCTGAATTGTGTTGACCAGGGTGATGAGGTATGAGTTTCTGCCCTGTCATAAGTTGCTACAGACTCAGGAATACGCTTTCAGATCAGATCCTCTATACTTGCTCGAGCTTCGTGGGCTCTTCTGCAGACTGGGACAGCATGTCAGCACGCTGAGGAACCCGACAGAGTCGGGCTGGAGTTCAGCGGGCCTGAAAGCTAGCCTTCTAGCCATAAAGAAAAGCAGCAGATTTCTCTACTTGGTTTACACTGGATTTTAGAAAGATTACCTGAAAACCATCAGATAGTATTTTCTCATTGACAATTGATAAATTTTTTTTTCAGTCTTTAGCCACGTGACTTTGGTACATACATCTCCGAACAATAACAACTCTCTGAATTATTTTATTTTGCAACTAGTGAACTGTGTCATTTGTAACAGTTAAACTTAAAAGACAACAAAGGCCACAATAAGGTGTTAAAGAAGAAAATTAAGCCTTATTTTCATTATTTTCATTATACTCAGCTTTCCACAAAGACTTGAAATTCAAATGAGATTGTCTTTACTCAGAAAATAAATTATGTTGTAAGCAGGCCAAGAATCTCATTCTGGTGTCACATAAAAATGAGTGCTTCACATGAAAAGGTGCTCAACATCACTAGTTATTAGAGAAATGCAAATTAAAACTACACTGAGGTATCACCTCAACACCAGCCAGAACGGCCATCACTAAAAGGTCTGCAAATGATAAATGCTGGAGAAGGTGTGGAGAACAGGGAGCCCCTTCTACACTGTGGGTGGGAATGTAAACTGGTGCAGCCACTATGAAGAACAGCATGGAGATTCCTTGAAACACTAAAAATAGATTTACCATATGATCCAGCAATCCCACTCCTGGGCATATATCCAGAGAGAACTCTAATTCAAAAAGATTCATGGACTCCAATGTTCACAGCAGCACCATTTACAATAGCCAAGACATGGAAACAACTCAATGTCCACCGACGGATGACTGCATTAAGAAGTTATGGCATACAGTATAAACAATGCAATATTACTCAGTCATAAAAAAGAATGAAATAATAATGCTGTTTGCAGCAGCATGGATGGACCTAGAGATTATCACACTAAATGGACCTGAGCTAGGGGTCTAAGTCACTCAGACTGAAAAAGATAAATATCATATGGTATCATTTGTATGTAGAATCTTAAAAAAAATAACACAAATGAACCTATTTATGAAAGAGAAAGACTCACAGACACAGAAAACAAACTTACAGTTACCAAAGGGGGAAGGGGGGAAGGATAAATCAGGAGTTTGAAGCTAGCAGATAAAAACTACTATATATAAAAGAGATAAACAACAGGGTCCTAATGTTTAGCACAGGGAACCACATTCAATATCTTGTAACACCCTATAATGAAAAAGAATATATAGACAATATATGTATGACTGAATCACTATGCAGTACATCAGAAACTAATACAATATTGTAAATCAAACTATACTTCAATAAAAAAAATCAATGAGTGCGTTACATACTTTTCTTATTAAGCTAATCTAAAAACAAATTCTCTAATCTAGAAACAAAAACATGATGGCAATTATTTAATCTTGTGGAAAAATACATGTGGTCATGTAACATAATACGCAGCAGGTAATATTGAAAAAACTCAAACATTCGATTTATGGTAAATAATAATCCAAGCAGAACATATTTTTTAACATACGGCTTATTATCTGAATTTTACGTTTGACTATAAACCATTTAAATTGTTATTCTCATTCAACATACTATCTTTTCTATTTGATATTTTATTTATTCCTGATTTCTCAATCATACTCTCCATAAATATTTCCATCTCATGGTGAAATTGACTATTTGAGGGCAATGGTAATAGCTATGAGGAATTAGAAGGGAAACCTTTGAAGCCAAATGTATTGAGTGTTTTTCTATACCTCACAGCCTGTGAGAATCTATTCACTACTGAGCAGTACCAACTTGTGCACATAAAATATCAAAATACCAATAAGATTTTCATGAGATGGAAACTTTAAATTACAGAGAATATATCTTTCCCTTGCTTATTCTCACTTATTCCTCCAGGTAAAGTCTTACTAATGAAACAGGAATATGCGTGAATAAAGCATTTATTTACAGCCATGGCCTTGCACTGACTGTAATTCTAAAGCAAAAATTTTCAAGAGATTCCTAAGAATGGAGACTCACTTTAAAACAAATAGTCATCCCTCAGTGGACTTCTTTTCAATTATACGATCATTATACAGCTAGTCTTTCTTCTCTCTCACGGTTCTGTGAAGAAAAGCAGCTAGCAAGTAGCTTACAACATGTGTAATTTGTCTTATAATTATAATAGATGCTCATTCTGTCTATAAATACTCATTGAAAAAGCAAATAACTGATGATTGCCCAGAAAACTTCAACACAGGGCACGCAGTCTAATTTGAGATTATCTCTTCCCCTTTCCAGGCTTCCTTCTGGCTGTCCAATTACATGACATTTGACAAAACAAAGGAATGGTACTCTTTTTGTTCTATTTGAAAAGAAAACCAGACGTATGAAATGCAGGAGAATGCAAATGACTGTGTAAAGGGAAATTTTAGAAACTAAGACACTTTTTTCTCCATACTCACAGTACGAAGCTGTGAGTGTGTGAAACAATGATTGCACGAATGGAGGAGTTAAGTGCTCTCCTCATCTTCTTATTTTATTTTATTTTATTTTATTTTATTTTGTTGTCAGTTTACAATGTTGGGTCAATTTCCAGTGTAGAGCAGAACTGTTCAGTCATACATGAACATACATATATTCATTGTCACATTCTTCTTGACCGCGAGCTACCACAAGACCTTGTATATATTTCCCTGTGCTATAGAGTATAATCTTGTTTGTCTATTCTATATATACCTGTCAGTATAAACCTGCAGCCCTCTCCACATAGGTTTTCTTTACCTCTGAGTCTGGTGCACGGTAACCTGACTTTCTATAACCCCGTCTGCGATATTGCTCAATCCTTGTGGATTTCCTACACGTTGCCCCTACCTTTTAAACATCCTCTCTATTAAAGTCTTTCACATCATTCTCTTTTGAGTGTCCCATCTCTTTTCTACTGGGCTCTGACTGGTACAGTTAGTTCAACTTACTTATTTCCTGATGAACTGGGTACAAAGGATTAATTTAAAGACTTGGACATTTTAGTGAGTGCATCAATGATGTTATAGCACAAAAATATAATGCTTAATAAACATTAGAATCATTTCTGTATCAATGGAATGATTTCACTAGAAATAGGTTGAAATAACTACCATCCAAACAAGTTTAGAAAGATTTCTGATTTCATCACTGTGTTGTCTACCGTAAGTGAAGCAAATGTTTTAACTTACTTCTCTATAATCATTAAATTGCTTTTATGGAAAGCACAAAAACAAGTTAAATATTCCACTTCAAAATATTTTCAAGAATACAATTTATTACTATATTATTACAGACAAGTATGTAAAGAGAGATCTTTACCTTTTCACCAATTTCTCCTTTGCTGCCTTCAAAACCTTGCTCTCCCTGCAGAAGAAGATTATAATGTATGTAATGATAGGAATACTGCTTTTAACACATATAATTATTCCAGTAATAATAATGGCTTCTACTATTGAAAAAAATTCAATAATTGTATAAATTAAAACCATTTATCAAATGTAAGCTTTAAACCAATATTATGTTACACAAAATATAAACACTTCCAGGGTAAAAGTTATAGCTTCACTACTTCCAATGCAATCCTATCTCCATAAGCATGAATTTCTCCATCTATAGTACTTTTCTCATAGGTGTTTCAAGAATTGAGTACATCGAATACTAAGTTAGCCACTATTGTTATTATTACCATCATTATTTATTTTACCAGATCCAGTAGAAACATCCTTCTCTCAAGCTGACTTCTGTCGAATACCATTCCAGGGAGAGGTGTGTGATGAACAAGGTCAGAGTTCCAGCCACAGCTCTGACACCAGCAGGATGCTCTCTGCCACGCAAGCCTCCTGCCTCTCCATCACAGAAAGGGGACTGGCTCTCAACCATCGTATTTATTCTGAAAAGTATAAGCCCCCTTTCTTCAACTAAAATCTCTCTGATCTGACAAGCTTATTTTCCCACTTAATTCTGCACAGATATTTATGGTACTCATGTTTCATTCATATATTCAACAAATATGCACTCATGACAATGTAGCCAGCAACTGAGTGTTGGGGATCGGACACACCCCTCCACCTATAAGAGGCGCTCAGTAAACATTTCCTGAGTGTACCAAAGCCAGAGATGAAGGCTTTCTTATCTCCAGTTTTTTCTGCAGTGCCTCAAGCAAGGTGACACTTAGTAGAATTAAAATTCATGCATTAGAAAAGGAATGCCAGCCTTTTACTCTGTGTATAATCTCTGTGTGTATGTTATACATATAATCAAATACATGAATATGTACAAATACACACACATGATTAAATGATTACTTCTGCTTCATCTACCTTCAGAAAAAGTACCAGGAAAGAAAGTAAGTTAGCACTGTGGCTTATTTGCCACTGAATGCATGGTCTTTTTTTTTTTTTCCTACCATTTTTTCCAAAGTACAGACTTCAACTTGATCTATTAATTCAAGCTGACACGAAGCTGCTAAATGCCCCCAGTCCATCAGCCACAGTGTCAGCAAAAAGCAGCCACCACAAACAGCTGCTGGAAAGTCCAAAACGGTTTCCCAGCAGATAAATCTACCCATCCCTTGGCTTGCAACTCACTCACAGATGCAGCGCACGCTGGATCCCTGGGTTTTGTCTAGAATTGCTGTGAAGAAATGCGGAAGCTTGGCATTTCATCACTGCCTGTTCAATTTTATCTTCATCAAGTGAGTAAAGGAAGACTTTTCAAAAGCTGTTAACTACATATAAGAACATAGCTTTTTTAATGGTAATTTCCAGCTACAGAGAAAAACCTTGATTCAACAGTAACTTCTGACTCCCTGAGGCTAAGATCTGTAAAACTTTTCCAAAAAGTAGAAATGACATGCCTGGCTTTGGTGGCCATCTAATATTGCATCAATAATGCTCTCCCCTGCGGTGGGATTATCTGGGTGGTATCGTGACAGCTGGCCCCACCTGAAAGGGCTCCCCATTCCTTCAGGAAACCGGAATAAATAAACAAATGTTTTTCCAATAATGCTGGTCACATCCAACCCTAGTCCTTCTCAGGAGAAATCAGCCCTTGGACAGTAAAAGGGTGAAATGAAGTTCACCTTGGTAAAGAGAAAGATTCTAGGCACCGAAAGAAACACTTTAGCCAATGTAAAGATCCTTATTAATTATGAATTTATTATCCTGAAAGAGATTATTTTGGAAGAGATTAGTTGTAGCATTTTTGTACTGTTTAATATGTCATGCCATTGTAACTATTACATTTAGCTCAATCTGGGCTATACAAAAAGGAAGACAGAGAAATAACCAGACAGGCAAAGGCAGTGAAGCCTGTTCCATTCTTCATTTTAGACTCGTCACAGTGAAAACATTTCCAGAGCAGGCAGGAACACGCCCAGGGCTCGCAGAGAGCACCGTTGCCGCTGCCCTGGAGAAGCATGTGGCTAAACCTCTCTGACAAAGCTCTCCCCTTAGAGTAGCTCTTTTGAGAAGGGACCACTTCCATGGATTGTCTTTGGAAAGAAAGGTCAGGTGGTGGTTGATGCAAGGAATCTAGTGTCATCAAATACATTTTCTGAATCTTCACTCTACTATGTGCAACTTTCAAGATGTTAAAATTCTTAGCTAATATGAAACATTAAAACTCTTTACCTTTTGACCAGGTAAGCCTGGAGCTCCACGTGGACCATTTTCACCCTAAAAGAAGTACATGGAATACATTTTATTAGCCATGAAAAACATGCGAATAAAGACATTTTTGCGGTTTTTAACAATTAACTCTAGGGTTGCAGGGAAAGGTAGCCTAACACTGAATGCTAAAGTGCAAGGGCTTTGCACACACCTCACACCTCCCAACTCCAGGACCAGTACTTTTGTTTAGAAAATAAGAAAACAAAGGCTCTGAGAGATTCGGTAACATGCTCAGGGTCACCCAACTAAGGGCATCACCTAAGATTTGAATTGTGGTCTCTCTGAATGCACACGTGCTACTTAGTGTCCTTGATTTCATTTTCTCTCTTTCAGACGTCTAGGTGAAATGTCAAAGCCCGACACAAGCTTTCTATGGGCCAGGCACTGCTCTCACACAAACCTATCCAGTAGCTATGACATTTATGATCATCTTCTCACAGATGGTTATACGGTCAGGAGGCAGAACTGAAATTCCAGTTTACACACTTCATCTCTGCACACCTAACCAGCCCCCAACACTGTCTCATGGAAAAGAGTTAATTCTAGTTTGTAAGTGAGTGATCGCTTATCTAAAAACTATATACATATTTATATGTGTGTAATATAGAAATATATATTTTTATGTATGCAATATATATGTACTTTATTTATATTGTAAATTATAACATATAATATCAAAACTATTTATAATGTTAATAAATTTAATGTATTTATAATATATTATGTATAAATAATATATAAATATGCATTTAATGTATTTATTATATATTTATATATAAATAATATATACACTTAATATACTTACAATATATTATCTATTTATATACTATTTTTGTTTATATATCTATTTATATACTATTTATATATAAATAATATACACATTTAACATATTTACATTTACATTTAATAAATGTAAATATATACTTACAGAAAATAGTATATAAATATACATTTAATAAATTTATAATTTATTTATATATAAATATAATTTAATATATTTATAATATATTTATGTGTTTTAGATATATAAAGCACGTATATTTTCTTGCTTATTTCTGTTGATTGCCTTTAGATCAATTTTGAAGACATGCCCAGTGCCATTTTGCTTGAAACAACTCCTCAGGAGAATTTCCAGTTCTTTCCATTCATCTGGTTCCTGTGTTGGGTACAAAGGTTTTCAGCAGATGCCTATCAGTTTCCATGGCTGGAATTCACGGGCCATCTCTTTGACAAGTCTGGTTTGCAAATGGCACATGATCTAGAATGATATACTCCTGAGAGGATGTGCACATTCCCCATGGAGCCTTAGGAATTCAGCTGCTTAAAGGAACTGACTTTGGCTCCCAACTTTCCAGGTTTAGAGAGCTCAAAATAAACTAACAATTCTATTGACTTACTTTATCCTTAGCAAACATAAGTCTTAACTTATTTTTATTAATTAATTATTTAATTGTTAAATAATAAATTACTAAATTATTAAAATTAATGAAATAATAATTAATAATTTATTTGTTTAAATAATTACTTTATAAGACAACAATTTTTTAGGCATTACCTACAATGAAGTTAGATACCCCATCTTAGAATTTTTTTAAAATGAACTACAAATATATGAAGATAAAAATGACATCTTCATATTTTAAAATAGTAATAATGTATTGTTTCAATCTAAAGAGATTCTTATTTCATTAATTAATCCTTTTTTGAAATTTTAGTCATTTTTTTCCCAGAAGTGTGCTGCTTTTTACATACACTCATATTTTAAAGACCAAGGCTTTTCTTTGATTAGATTAAATTATCTGTGTTCCACAGTATAACAGGCTATCACAACAGAATATTCTAAACACTAAAGGCAAAACTTTGTTGCTAAGTGTAATTCAGTATTGAAGCATCAACAAAATACAATGTACTCATCTATGTAATGAATATACTTCTATTAGTTTAAAATTGTTACAGTTATAGACCCCAGGCATCACACAAATACATTAGAAACTTCCCATTTCATTTGATAAAGTGATGGTAAAACACATTAGTTTTTTGACACCAGGAAACATCCTAGGAAACTGAGCTTCTGTTACTCATCGCAGAAGTATGTCCACTTGTCCATAAGGAGCTGAATTATTTTCACTGGTTGGTCAATATAATGTTTTATCTCATATTACAAGTTACACACGATCACAAGATACGGCGTGTAATCCGGAAAAGTACACGGATACAGTACACACTGTCAAAAATACTTTTTTTGTTTGTTTGTTTGTTTTTTGTTTTTTTTAATTGATTTATAATCATTTTACAATGTTGTGTCAAATTCCAGTGTTCAGCACAATTTTTCAGTCATTCATGGACATATACACACTCATTGTTACATTTTTTCTCTGTGATTTATCATAACATTTTGTGTATATTTCCCTGTGCTATACAGTGTAATCTTGTTTATCTATTCTACAGTTCTGAAATCCCAGTCTATCCCTTCCCACCCTCCACCCCCCTGGTAACCACAAGTCTGTATTCTCTGTCCATGAGTCTATTTCTGTCCTGTATTTATGCTTTGTTTTTGTTTGTTTGTTTGTTTTTGTTTTTTAGATTCCATTTTGATCTCATATGGTATTTTTCTTTCTCTTTCTGGCTTACTTCACTTAGAATGACATTCTCCAGGAGCATCCATGTTGCTGCAAATGGCATTATGTTGTCGGTTTTTATGGCTGAGTAGTATTCCATTGTATAAATATACCACCTCTTCTTTATCCAGTCACCTGTTGATGGACATTTAGGTTGTTTCCATGTTTTGGCTATTGTAAATAGTGCTGCTATGAACATTAGGGTGCAGGTGTCATCTTGAAGTAGGGTTCCTTCTGGATACAAGCCCAGGAGTGGGATTCCTGGGTCATATGGTAAGTCTATTCCTAGTCTTTTGAGGAATCTCCACACTGTTTTCCATAGTGGCTGCACCAAACTGCATTCCCACCAGCAGTGTAGGAGGGTTCCCCTTTCTCCACAGCCTCTCCAGCATTTGTCATTTGTGGATTTTTGAATGACGGCCATTCTGACTGGTGTGAGGTGATACCTCACTGTAGTTTTGTTTTGCATTTCTCTGATAATTAGTGATATTGAACATTTTTTCATGTGCTTTATGATCATTTGTATGTCTTCCTTGGAGAGTTGCTTGTTTAGGTCTTCTGCCCATTTTTGGATTGGGTTGTTTATTTTTTTCTTATTGAGTCGTATGAGCTGCTTATATATTTTGGAAATCAAGCCTTTGTCTGTTTCACTTGCAAAAATTTTCTCCCATTCCGTAGGTTTTCTTCTTGTTTTACTTCTGGTTTCCTTTGCTCTGCAGAAGCTTGTAAGTTTCATTAGGTCCCATTTGTTTATTCTTGCTTTTATTTCTTCTAGGA